GCCCTGACAGCAGCTTTGGATACGGAGGGATCAATCTGCCTCACGAAATATAAGGTCCGTTTTACACCGGGATGTCCGCTTTGGCAATGCACAGATTTTAGTAAATCTGAGTTATAGTTGCTCGTTGATGTTACACAGACATGTTCTACCGGCTCTACCTCTTTCTTAATAGCGTCAAGCCATTTTTGGGGTACCCTTGTTAAAGTATCGGCCTTGTTCTGCTGTGATCTGACCAGCTGTATGTCTACGGATAAGTGGTATTCACTTACCAACTTTCCCAGTGTGTCTAGCCTCCTTCGAATGAGCATCTCGCTCGCAGCCTTTGTATGTATCCTAGCCTTCCCCGTAAGAGTGTCTGCTATCCACTTATACACGCATGCGGAATCCGTGAATAAATGCAATACCTTTGCATTCCATTGAAGGGCCGCGGTGACTCCCCTGATAACGGCGTCTAATTCTGACAGGTTGATATGTTGCGTATCCTTCTCGGGGACGCAACCAACACGCATCTTCCACGACAGTGTCACCTACTTCAAGAGACACTCCTGTTGCAAGGGAGCTCGCGTCGACCCAGACGTTAAATTCACATCCGTCAACGCACCATTTACCACGTACGGGGTCGTCTTGACGCACCCTAGTAATGACTTCCCCTATCATGTGTCTAAGGGGAGCATCATTGGTTGTGTCATCCCAACCGGAAGTGACAGCAGTCACCCCACGTTTAATAAATGCAGTTGCAATGCGGATCCACCCGCCCACGGGAAAATGTCCCACCAGCTTTCCACATAACGAAAAAACACGCTGCGTCGGGGTCATGTGTTTGGGAATGTCCGGGAGCTCGCTTCCACGTTTCCAGTAAAGCATGTTGTGCTCCCCCCAGACCTGCAAGCCGAGCACCCGAGCACCATCCTCCAGTCGTTCTGGGTTTTTACATTCGAGCCCAAAGTCAGCAAGATGCTTTCTCACCTGTGAAGCGGGTACTAAGGTTTCGTTGATGTAGATGTCGTCAATGTAGGCTGACGTCGCTTGACGAATTGTCTCATCCTGGGATAGCACAGCATCCACGATGGCTTTCATGATGGCCGGCGCCACATTGAGTCCGAATCCCATTCGGGTTAAGCAGTACCTCGTCCCATTAAGAATCACCGTCTGAAATGGCCACAGTGACCGGTGCACGCGTACCTGCAAGTAGGCCTTTCGAAGGTCAATCACAGAGACATTGGATCCCTTCGTTCGCCATTCTCTCAATTTTGTGCACACACATCAGCATGAGCTGTGTATGTGTCTACATGTTCGTTCAGTTCTCTATAATCTAGTACAGGGCGCACCTTTCCCTTGTTCTTTTGTACCACGGCCATCAACGGGATGAGGCCTCTTGGAGGACCAAGCTCTTCCTCGGGATATGGAGTCAGCCATCCGTTATCCAGCCACACCTGCAATTCGCGCTGGTATTCTTCCTTGACGCGTTCGGGCACCGAATATTCTGACACTCGGTTCTGGAGCTTTTCTGGTGGGTTATTTTCCGACCATTTCCAAAATGCTGTCCATGTCTTCGTCCTTTGGTCGAACTCTGCGCTAAAGTCGGGCTCGTTGATCTTCAAAGTAGCACAGATGGGCGGATCAGAAAACTTGACTTCGCCTGCCTCTGTAATGCGTACGCCGCCCAGCTCCTTAATAATGTCCATCCCAAGGAGCAGATCGAAACCTAATAACGCGCTGTCCACGACCAACACACTGACTGTGACAGGGTCACCGTTGTTAATACTAAGTTTGATGTTTCCAACTCCCCGGCTTCTGAGAGCCTTTCCATCAGCCGTTAGTACGTCCATCTTTTGTCTGCTCCACTGTCGGCAAATCGAACCGTTGGTGAGTGACCGAGAGCAGCCAGAATCTATTAAAGCGGTACGCGTTATTCCATTGATGCGTACCTTAATCACAGGGAGCGCCACTTTCATGCTCGGGTGCGGGGAAGAGACCGGCGCTGACGTCGCGTCCCCATTCCATTTCCGGGCACTTAGAGGCAATATGACCTACTTTCTGACATTGAAAGCATCGTAGATCGAGACGTGCCTTTCGCGCCGACCCGCTGCGCATTTCTTCGCGTTGATAGCGGCAGTCTCTGGCAAAATGATTCGGCCCAGAGCACCGATAGCAGGTGGCAACGCCATGGTGACGAATGGCTGGGGTCGGACCTTCTTTGACTTCAATTGGTTGAATAACCGCGGCCACTGGTTCATCAGCCTCTTTTTCGTCGATCATGACAGCACGGGCTCTGGTCAACAATTGATTGAGCGTCAGGTCTTCCATTCTGGATGATGCGCGGAGTATCTGCTTAACATGACTGGGCAATCCAGAAACGAAGGCACATGTCATCCATTCTTCAGGAAGCGGTGCGATTGGAACGGCGAGCTTCTTTAATTCTGCCAAATATACGTCTACTGTCTCGCCAGGTCGCAGACGCCGTGCCTGGAATTGGTCGTAGGCCACGAACCAAACGCGGTTAGTAGAGCGTGCTTTATTTGCTCGATGTCGCTTTTCTGTTCTTTACTCAGCTGCCTATACACAGCAAGGGCAACACCATTTAATCGCAGAGGAAGAATCCGATCAATCTTCGATATCTCGCATAATTCGCAGACCAGTTCCACCTTTTCGATCCATTCAACCACAGACTGTCCACTAGTATCACCACTGAATTCGGGGATCAGTTTTATATCGAACGGTCTTTCCGCCATCTTGCGAGAGACAAAGTAAATGCCGAAATAGCTTGAAGAGTAAGCGTTCTCAAAAGCAAATTTGTGGCTTTCACAACACAAAGAAAAGAGAATCACTTGTAACACGTCAGGAAAATAACTCACGAACGCCGTAGCCAAAACTGCCCGAATTTTTTCTCCCCCGAGTCGACAACACCAACTGCTTTTATCGGCAGAACCTATTTTTTCCATTCGTCGACAGCCGGGATAGGATGCTCCGTAATTTGCATATTAATACACTCTTATAGCGACTCCTGCGACGAACTTGTTTCTTTTTTCGCTTGGGTTGACGAGGTAAGTCGCTATAAGAGTTTTGCTGACTACTTTTCTTTTTGGCAATCCCTCCCCGGCAGATCGCACAAAAAAAACAACTTTTTTCCGAACTTTATCTTTCACTACACTGCTCTACAACTATTTTTATTGATTATCTTTTTAAAACAAAATAATTTACATATTACTGCTTTCTGAACGAACATGATCAAAATTTGCTACTGGTTTTAATTCTGTAAAGACCAAAGAAAATGGGGTAGAAAAAAGAATTTTTTAAAGAGGCAAGAAAATAAAAACAAAATGACCAGAAAATTTTGTTTCTCTTTCTTCATTTCTCATGTTAAGAGAGGGAGCCACTAATGTATGTTTTGTTAATGCTTTAGAAGGATTATCAAAAGAGAAATGGATTTAATTCACTTTAAGTCAGATGATCTCTTAATCCAATAGCACAACAAATAGGTTTTTTTAAAAATAAATCTTTTCTTTTTGTAGTCAGTCACATAATAAATAAATAAAAAGATTGATAGGAATGAAACCAAAGTAGATGCTTAGGTCATGGTACACACACACACCTCCTCTATGATAAGAACGGCTTGAAAAATGATTGACCTAACCCATTTCCCTAAATCTGACCAACTGAGAAAACATAAATTTGTGGCAAATTTGTTAGGTGAGAACTTTTCAGTACGCCTCCCACTCTATACAGGATAGGGGGGATAAATTGTCATCTAAATGACGCAAAAATGAAAATAACACTGACATCTCATTTACACAAAAATATCTTGAAATACTAAAGAGTAAATTTATTCAATAAAATCGACATTGGCTTCAAACATGGCCTCCAAATGACTTTTGAATTTCCTGCAACTCTTCTCTGCCACAAACTTGCCTTCAGTTCATCTTTGGTGTTACAAGGAGTTTTGTTTGTCTCTTGTTCAACTGCGTACCACACATAATCAAGGGGGTTGCAGTCTGAGGAGTTAGGTGGCCAGATGTAAGGGTGTGATGTGTTCCGACAGGGCAAGAGTTTCTCAGTTTGATTGAGAAACATTTCCCTAGTAATAATCCTCTAAGCAAGACGTTCAATAAAAATACACTTAAATTACAGATGTACTGATAATCTAGAAAAAAATTATTAAAAAACAATAAAATTTTAAATCGACACTTAAAGTAACAATAGTAATTCCAAAACATTCTCTCCCGAAACATGTAAAAATATATTGAATTTTACCGAATTATGTTTTTTTTTGGATTCACAGCAAGAAGAATTATTACCATTGAAAGCTTTGTTCTAATCTTTGAATTTTGTGTTGATGATATTTTTATCACAAACTTTCAACCTTCAATCTTCGTCAGGTGTATAATTCCAGAATCAATTTTACGCATGTAACATTGGTGTAAACATTAAAGATAATAATAACACAAAGACTACAACTACCCAAGCAAATCTTGGAAAGTTTTTTTATAAAACACAATTTTGTAAAAAAAAAAAAAAAAAAAATTAAAAATACAACCACAATTCTTTTCCTAATTGATTTCAATAGAGAGATTTAAGAAAAAAGAAAAAAAAAAGTTAAAAGAAAAAAAAAAGTTAAAAGAAAAAAAAAAGTTAAAAGAAAAAAAAAAGTTAAAAGAAAAAAAAAAGTTAAAAGAAAAAAAAAAGTTAAAAGAAAAAAAAAAGTTAAAAGAAAAAAAAAAGTTAAAAGAAAAAAAAAAAAAAAAAAAAAAAAAAAAAAAAAAAAAAAAAAGTTAAAAAAAAAAAAAAAAAAAAAAAAAAAAAAAAAAAAAAAAAAAAAAAAAAAAAAAAAAAAAAAAAAAGAAAAAAAAAAAAGTTAAAAAAAAAAAAAAGTTAAAAAAAAAAAAAAGTTAAAAAGAAAAAAAAAAAAAAAGTTAAAAGAAAAAAAAACAAGGACACATAAATAAACAAAAATATCACACATTTCCAAGTATTAAATGCATAAAGCCATTGAGTAGACTTACTCTTGTAAAATTTTACTATCTGTTGTCTGGGGATAACCAAAATCCATGACTTCATCAAGTAGTTCATAAATAACCACAAAGTTGTCTCGAATACTCTCTTCTTCCAACTCCTTAAAGTACTCAGCAAAAATCTGAAACGAGTCATTTTAAATATTTCTTTATTTTAACAGAAAAACATACAAAACACATTTGTGTACCAATATGTATATTTCACAATCATTACTTCAGTAGAAACTCCAAGACTGGTTTTGTGCCAAAATTGGTTTACAATGCCAGGTAAAAATTATGGAATTAAAACACTTTGAGGATGTGTTTTTTTTTTTTTTCTCGTTTTATTTAGCAGTAAATAAACTAATAACAGAAAAGATGCAAAACATTTTTATTTAATACTTAGACATTCTGGCTTTATTTAAATGGTATTATTTTTTTTCCAAATCAGAAAAACAAAGATCGTCCATGAGAAGGATCCATCGATCATAGAAAATTCATTAACTGTCGGAACCACTTTGATAAAGATTATTACTTAAAATTCATGAAATCTCTGCCTGAAAGAATTAAGGCTGTCACAAAAACTCAAGGAGAGATAACTAAGTATTCATTCTAATTAATTTTAATTAAATTCTATAATTTTTTCCTCAACATTGACTTATTCACTATATTGCTTGAAAAAGATTCTTGCTTGTTACATATTTATTATATGTCTTTCTGTATTACTTTCAGCCTTTGTGTTAAGAATGTCACCTGATGTATGTATGTATGTATATAATCTCAAAGTGTTTCTTTGGGGGGGGGCTGACCATTGCATAATTTTTCATGTTATAAATAATAATAGCAGCAATGGATATTGTACAGTTAGCTAGATCTCAGGATAAAATGCTATTATCTTTCTGTGGAAAAAAAATTTGCATTTTAGGACCAATTGCATTAGAACCTAGAATTATGTTAGGAAGCAAGGTTTAAATTTTCCCATTAATTGTCCTGCCATTCTCTTTCCTATTGCACAAGGATCATTTTATAAACAAATAATTCTTGTGGTAAGGAAAGAACATATTAGAAAATTTTACAAATTTTTTTTTTTTTTCAGTATTATATATTCTGCACAACAAAGGATATAATATTAACTAAATAGACATTTCATTTTCAAAATGTAACAATTAAAAATGGAAGTCATTCAATATTTGAAAAATGCTTCAAGATAATGAAAAAAAAACCCTTAAATGATTTAACATTGAATCCTACAATTCTTTTTTTCTTTAAAATTTGTTTGAGCAAGATTCAACACTGAAACAGCATATGACAGAGGAAGAAATGAATAACCAATGATCAGTAATTGATACAAGCATTAAACACGGCTATTAAAAATATGACAAAGTTGTGCAAAGTTCTTGACAAAAAGAAAAAAAATATATATGTTGAACTTTATTTTTTTTTGTTTTTTTGTTTACTAAATTCCACCCAGTGCAAGTCTTGAGAGCCACTAAAAGTAGAGGGTTGCAGTTGAAATGGCAATGATAAATGAGGTGCATATGATATGAATAGTTAGAAGAGATGGTGGTAGGAAGCAGCAATTATGAGAATAAATAATAAGAGGTCAATATAAAAATGGTCAGGGAAGCACTCATAGCATTATTAGACAAAGTGGCAGTTCTTGGAGTAAAAGCTGTCTGAGTGAAACTTCCTTCATACATTTAGACCATGGGAAAAATGAGGATGATTCAACTCCATGGATGTATCATGGCACATCTTAGCAGTAAAGATCTGAACTAATGGAACTAAAGAATGGCACTCATCTGCCATGGAAATAGTGGTAGAGTAGCAATAAACTTGCAACATTGCATCTAAGGGACTTGACGCTGTAGAATAAAAAATAAGTCTTCCTTCATGAGACTGGGTAAACAATTTTTAGCCTAATCTTGTAAAAAATATAGCATGTCAGAAGGAATTAGATACTTTCTGGAGTGATAGAATAAGCTGACCATTTTTTCACTTGAAGTCTGACGAGAAACTGAACTCAATATAAGTATAAGTAGGCTGAGAACTTTTCAGCACACCATGCAATATAAGCGATTTGTTTTTAATCATTTCACCCCAAGCAAGGCAATAATGCCACTAGGAAGAAAGGGGTTAATAGGAGTGAAAGAAACGGAGATGTTAGTGAAGAAAAAAAGACAATAAAAGAACAGGTTTCATGAAAACAGAAGATGGCGATTGGCATTGCATTTAAATTTTTGAAGATTGTAGGGAAGCAAGAAATCAAAAGGAAGTTCCACAGGTTAGAAGTATGAGAAAAGTGACTACTAGAACAGAACATATGGTTGCATCTAGCTAGTTCAACATTAAAATGGTGAGACCTAGTTGCCAATCTAGCAGCAAGCTTAAATTCATGCAGTCAAGGCACCAAGGAGGAAAGCTCATTAGAACTACTACCATAAAAATATTTGTAGAAAAGACAGAGGGAAGTGAGAAAATGACTGAAGTCGAGATGCCAAGGCAGGACCAATAATATTGCAGACCCTTTTTGTCAATGTTTTTACTATAGAGAAGCATTGTAAATATTCTATTGGATTCTAAACAAAGAAGGTTTTCAGAGAGAGAAAATAATTAACCCTTTTCAAGCCATTATTGATCCATTTCAATGTTCATTAGACAATAATAAATAAGTACTTACTTGTACAATTTTATGCAAAAAAGAGAAGACCATGGTGACACTTGCATTCTTCTTGGTGGTGGACACAAGGTAAAGGTTGTTATATTTAATGTAGACATAAGCAACATTTCCATGTTGAAGAATGGGAGACACATTCCCTTCCTCTTCTTTCTCCATCAACAGCGGCATGAACTTGTCTATGGCCGACATGTCGATGTCCCCACGATAGTTGCGACATATCAGCACCTAAAAACATAGGAAGAAATAACAAAACAATCAACTTTACAAATTTAAAATAAAAGAAAAAAAATTCACAGAAGAAAATATATAAAAATTATTCAATAAATGTGATATCATCTTCAAGAGTGTCCATTTCTCCAACATCCCAAGCAACCAGTCAGATATAAAAGATTTGTTCATGAAAATAATATTTAATCTAAGTTTTTTTTTACTTGTTATAATAACTCAAAAAAAAAAAAAAAAAAGATTGGCATCAAGTTTTCCTCTGCATACATCTAGACACAATCAATATCTGTAATTTTTCTTCTGTAAATTATTAGCAATTATTATAATTAATATGGATGAGTTTTTATTGCCATCAAAAATTGCTACTTTTCATAACTTTTCTCAAACTGTCAACCTAAGGGGAACAGTGTTCAAGCCTCACTGAACGCCTGTTAATTTATTACTGTAGAGTAATGGGCTTACAATAAAAAGTGACTGAAATAATGATAGTAATGTCAATATCCAGGGTGTGTCGTGTCATAGTTATTGATCTGAAAAATGGAATTGGCAAGCCAATTTTATATATTAAACAGCAGAAGTATCTCACTTTGGATGGTAACTAGTTGAAGATAAGGACTATTCTAAAGTAAGAAAAAAAAAACATGGCAAAAGCAACAGGAAACCACTCCACTCTCCTCCATGTCATAGCAATTCACAAATAATAAAGAAAGCTGTAGAGAGCCATGATCACCCATATCTTGAATAGATGCATAAAAAATGTATGCCATTTTGATATTCATGATTGTAATGCCACTTGTAAAAGAAAGAAAAAAAATTAATTCATAAACATAATCTGACTCCCCCTACTATATCAAAAAAAAAAAAAAAAAAAAAATCCGGGCTACTCCATCACTATTTTCATAGCAGTTGTTCAGGCAAACTACAATCCTTGGTTCCACCATTCTAGACATTCGCAGCTAGGACCCACCATGTCATATTCCATTGATAAGGAGAATGTTCTACTCAGACAGCTTCTTCTCCAAAACTGTTGCATTACAGGATCGCAACAATTAAAGTTGATTGTCATCTGTTAACTATCCTGCATATCATCATAATATTCACTTCTTCCTTATACATCTTTACAACAACCTTAGCTAATAACTCTCTACCTTGAGTGGCTTTTGAGATTTGTATTAAGAAAACAAGAGTAAGAAAAAAATAAAAATAAAAATAAATTTAAAATACCCACTTTTTATTTATCGGAAGTGTAAAGGTAGGATTTTATTTAACCAGAAAAGTACGGCCATCTTTACATTCACCCTGTATCATTTTTTTTAACTTATTAAGCAATGATTTTTTTTTTTTTTTTAAATCAATTCACCTCAAAGAAGGCAATAATGCACACATAGGGATAATGGGAGTCAAAGAAAATGAGAGAACTTTTGAAGGAAGCAGAAACCAAATCCTAAACAAGAAAGAAGGGATAAACCTCTACTCCTGTTCAAAAGACTGGAGAGGAATGTAAACTGGATAATAGGCAAACCGATCTACTCCTAAATCATTCCTAATTAATTGTTGTCTATTAACCAACATTACTCTCTTCAAACACTTTCTTTTTCTTTTAGTTTTTAAATAAAAAAAGAAAAGCAATAAATTCTGATGTGTAACTGCTTGGTCAGGTTTTGCAAAGTTAATTCAACCAACAACTTTTCTATACACCTGGGCAGTCGAGACTAAAGTTAAGAGAAAGGAGAAAATTTCAAGTATTAATTCTGAGGAAAGGCATATCCACTTCTCAGAGTGATAGGACAAAATAATCTTATCAATCAGGACATTTGCAAACTTGTAAAATCTGTTAAACATCTGTGGCAGAATTATTTACTTCAAATATTATCAAAACTATGTTCTTTAACCTCAGATACTAAGCTCTACTCTAATCAATATCAATTCATTGATGCCAAAGTCAATCACTCATCTGGTATGAATGAGTCCAAAGGTTTCAATGCACAAACACACATCTGTACTTTGAAGTAGTTGAATTAAAAACCTACTGCAGATCACAGGTTAAGAGAAGAAAAAAATAATAGCATAAATAATAAAACAGGGTCATCTGTTTCAATGATGGTTAACCATATACTTTTTGGCCCCCAAAGACAAATGCCATCCAGAATAGTCAATACAAAAACTATAAAAACTTCCTGAACTTACGTTTCCATAAAGATGATTTTAGCCTGGATGCTAAAGAGGAGCTTTTTCACAAAAAGTCACAGAAAATCAACATGTGATGAAATTGGTGGCACTACTAAACAACTTACTGCAAATGAAAACATGAAGCAAACCACAAGAAATCAAATCTTGACTGTAGAGGACTCATTTCATTTCTGTCAAGAAAACAAAGAATATTATCTACTTTTTGCTATTTATTAAAGAATTAAAAACCACAAGAAAAAAATTGTTCTCAAGATTTGCTGATGGATGAACAATTTCTGGGACAAAAGGTCTTTTCATCACTTTATTCCTGGAGATGGGATTACTATAATCTGCAAAAGATTTTGTGGTGATCAAACCACAAAGAAATTCAATATTTCATGTCAGGAACCATTTTCATACCCAGAAACTTCCATTAAAACAATGGAGTATGTAGTGTGCATTTATGATATTATTTGGTGGGTCAGTCTAGTTCTTGAAATTGATACTGCACCACAAAGTGATTTAAAAATACAGTTTCTACATCCACACAGACCAGCAAATTATTTTTCCTGTGCAAAACATGAAGACATATGCTGGGTTCCTAATGAGAATATATTTTGCATTCTTTCAGCTTCAACTACAACTACAGGATGGGTGTTCGAGAGGAACTTACTTCTTGCCAATGGAATGTGGGTGGCTTGCTACTATGTAAGTGGAATGTCAGGTACTAGCTGTAAAGATTAGACCTGGTAGAAGCAAGGAATGTAGTTAATCCAAGCACTTTCCATGGAAATATCAATAGTTAGCAGCAAAAGGCTCACCACAACCCACCTGTGTGAAAGAGATTGGAAAGTAATTCATCACCCACAAAGAGTTGGAGATACTTTTCAACTACATCAAGACTGGAAAGTGAGGACTAAGCAGCTCCTGCTCAAATAAGACAAGTACTCCATTTTCATCCTGATCTGGCTCTTGCAAGAGGCAGAGAGTAACATGAGGAGTCAGGTACTTACTGGGTGGTACAGGGAGTCAAACATTTTACCTGCATCTGTAACAATGGGTTGTATGTACAAGTTGCACTTGAGGCCAGAAGTGAGTTTGAGGCCCAATACTCTCTCAAGGCAGGGTGCCTTCTCAAGGGGACATCACAGTAAACTTTGACCATCAAAAATTTAAATGTAATGTCCATCATTATATTCTGTCTTCTTACTTCCTGTTCTTTTATTGTTCTCTCTACTTAAGAGTAACAATCAATAACCCTTAGTGGCTTTATTGCCTTGCTTGGGGGGGGGGAATGGTTAAAAAAAATTATGCAGATTCTGATACTTGTGCCAGGAAATATTTAGAAAAACAATAAGTGTGTCTTACCAATCATTGAGATTCCTGTGTGCCTTACCAAACAAGTACCGTGAGAGAAGGGGAGGGATTCCTGAACCTTGTATTTGGTACACAAGAGTATTTCTAGTGAGTTTTCTCCTCATTTGGTGCTCTACAATTGTGACCTTGTGCCAGACTAGGCTAATATCTTGTCCAAAGTTTACTATATGAATAGAATTACTTACCTTCCCCTTGACATCCAAGATATAAATAGCTGAGGAGGACATGGTTCCACCTTGTCAAACCTGAAGGGAGAAAACAGAAATATTTATAATCGATCATTTTTATCAGTTTGCATCAAATCATAATCCATTTCAATCAATAAGCAATTAGATTATAATTAATTATCAGTCTTCTTTCATATGCTATTTCATTTTGGGGTCATGACTCCCCACAATTTCCTTTCTTTTTCTGTCAAAGAAACTTTTGCCTCTTTACTAACCTTCTTTCTCTTTGGCCATCCATTCACCTAAACTCAAATAGATTACATGTCACTTCCCAAACTTCTTTTTCTTTCAATATGCCCTGTGAATGTGAAATTCTCCAAGCCTTCTTTCCCTATTATGTATCCAAGAAATTTCAGCTGTCACTTTCTGTTAGCCTCAGTTGCCTTGCCTTAATTCCCTTAAGAATTTCTTTGTTGCACACATATTGTGTTTATGATACTCTCAGCATCCTTCTGGAGAACCACATCTCTATACATTTTAAATCTCTTCTTCATCTGTGAAGAGATTGTCTTGCATTCACTGCTAGTTAAACACTTGTCTTTGTTTCTAACAACATTTTCTGATCACTTTACTTTTTTACGGAGCTTACTGAATAGTAACTTGTACAAAGTCATAAATTTCCAATAAGCAGCAAATCTGGTAGGGAAAGTGATAAGTAGAAAACCCCTTCACAACTTTAACCCTCTGACAATTTCAATCTGACTAGACAAAACATTTCAAGGGTTCCTAGGCCTCCATTGTTGACCTTTAACACTTTCAATCAAATGTTTGAAGAAACGATTTGTTTTGTTTAGTACTTCAATTTTGATAAAAGTTACTCTGAACATTTAAAATTATTAAGAAGATTCCTATGTAAAAATTATTATTAAACTGAAATGCTTAAATAAAAAGTTGTGATTTTTATAAAAAAATTACAATAAAATTTTTTTTATTCCTTTTCAAAGCTTTAATATTCTGGTTTTATTTTGTTACAACATGTACTACAAGCATTAAAAAAAATTCAAAATAGTTTCTTCAGAGCAGAGTATAATTGAT